AAAACCCACTGAAAATGCTCGAAATGGCAAATCAATGAAATTTAAACCCAGTGAAAATTAGTCATTTTACAGTATTCAGCCTGTTAAATAGGATTTTTTATCAAAATCAAAATATTTCTTTGGAGAAAACTAGTCTGAATACTTGTAAAAATGAGCAGTTTTGGAGTTATTTACAATAGGAATTCATGTTAAAGCAAAATTTCATACAAAAAATACCATAGTAAGCACCGGGAGTGAATATATGAACATTTTCACCACTTGGCAACCACAACCGGTGGAAACAAATGAATGGTCGAAACTTTCCTACATGTACAACATATATCAATTTGGTTGTTCAGGATTGTCTTATAGTTCAGTTTGTGCTACTTTACTTCTGTTTAGCTGTTATTACCGACTCTCCCACCAGTGTTCCACAGCAGCTTAAGCAGAGCCATGTTCATATTTTGAAAAACAATTCAATCTGATGCATGTTCTTTGTACATTGATGGTTCTCTACCCAAAACATCGTCTCTACAAAAGTATTGAGCGTCTTTTAGATCTATAATCTAAGCACCATTGCACTAATGCTTTGAATGCTCGTTGTATATCATTGCAATGAGACCGTTGATATTATTGGTTAAATATTGCATTCTATTTACCAGTGGAGATCACATGTTTATGGGGAATTTCCAGCATGGCATATAACCCAAGTATTATTAGAATAACAGTAATTATCAAATACCTCAATTGAAATCTGCAATAGGTCAGTTGTAAGAGGCTCTGCAATTGCAAGGTATGATTTACAATAGCAGTTCATAAAATATATATTGATTATGTAGCTGAGGCAATGCCGGTTTACAAGTTGTGTATACTTACCTGTAACATTTAGATATGAATACAACTCTTGTGATTGACACGCTGTAAAGGAAAACAACCGTAGCGGTTTACAATCTGCATAAAATAAACTTACGATCGGAACAATGGGTCACGTGACAGTGGTATAAAAATCTTTTAACCCAATTAAGGGTATCAAACTAACAAGACAGTTAAAGTTCGTAATCACTGTCTTGTCTTTGTCCAACTTACACTAGAGATGCTTGTAAATTCCCAGAATCTTGTTTGAAGTGAATTCAATAATGTGACATTTTCTGTACATGTAACCGTTTCTGTCTTGGCATGCACATGCTGCTGCATTGATCAATTCAAAAAATTAAAGCGAGGGGGTCTTCACCTGTGTACATGCGGGAATTGAGTCCCTAACGATAATGCACCTAAATACCCAAAGGCTCATGGGTAGACGCTTGACACGCCATCTGACTCGTGCGCATGTGCCAACTGCTTCAAGTAGCTGGACATTCAACTACAAAAGAATATGTATATACGCAGTTGTAATTTACTTGGAGCTACTAGACTATCAACAAAGGAGTTAATTAGTATGTACAGAGTCTGGAGTTCATCACATAGTATCTGTACAAAAATACATCCCAATTCACCCATTGGTTCTTTAGATACGGTTGTAACAGGATTTGACTGACAGACATCATACAACATCACTGTTTCTGCCTTCTGTCTGTACAAAGCACAAACAGGAGGCAAAAAACAGTTGATCAAACAAATGGTTTTTCTGGTGGACCCCAAAGATATGGACAATGAGCCATTCCCAGAAATTACACAAACGTGGTTGAGATCGCTGCAGCAGTCTTCCTGACAGTGGTTGAAGTGAATCACACATCTTTGGTCATTTTCGTTTATTTCAGGACAATACACTGCTTAATATTAACATGAAAATATGTAAATTTGTGACAAAAAGCACACATATAAGCAAAAGGGTTGAACTACATACCATATATACAAACTTTCATTAACTACTTTCACAGTTTAAGTACAATCAAATGTGTACACTGATTTAGAGTGAAATTATGCTTGTGTGTATCCATTTTTGTTATTTATCTACAGCCTCTGCAAACAAACCAGTACATAGCTAGCATATAGGTCCAAAGCAAGCAACGCATGTTCACTGTAATTCAGTAAGATAGATTGATAATCAACTACCGGTACTCTATTTAGACTTTGATCATTCAATTTTAGCTATTTTTTATACAAATTTGTAAATAATTCAATGTTTCTATAATGTCCAGATTTTAGCTAAAAACATGACAGTATTATATTTTGAATGGAACATAAAAACTTGACACAGCACGAAAGTATTGTTTGCTGCAATTATTACATAGATTCACAACTACACAAATGATCATAATTCTGATATCAAATTTTGAAAATATGAGTTTCTTTTTAAAAAAAAATTAATAATTTTGTACTTCTGTATAAAAAAACTGTTCTGTCAATAAATTTCAGGAGGACGGCAACTTGAGTGCTGTTAACAGTGCATATTCTGCATAGGAATTTAAATTTTTTCATTTTAATGAATACATAGACAAAATGTTTTTACTGCTTTATCAGTTGTGTTTGCATGGATTTAGAAGTTCAGAAGTAGCATTTGGTCAAACAATTTCAGCAAAATAACAAGTCGTATGGTAACTAAGTGTTCTGCCCAAGCAATGCAGTTTTGCCATTTATGAACTTTCAAGGAACAATGGAAGATATGTTAATTATTACTATTGTAACAAAATACATATCGCAAATTAGTTATACTTGAATATTTATATTTTTTTTGTACCTGGGAAGAACACTGATATTCATTTTCAACTTCTGTCATTGATCTATACCATTATTTGGGGCAGTCAAACAGTACTGTGTACATTACATTATAACCAAGCAGCTACATGTATATTTAAAAGAGGAAAACACTCACACACCCCTCCGGCTCACCCGAAGTGCCCCCCCCCCCATTCAATTGGAAATGCCCATTATAGATAACTATAAGTGTTCCTAGGAGGAGCATATACAATTAAATTGGTAAGTGCTGTGGGTAGAGGTAGATTTAGGGGTGTAGGTACAAAAGGAACTCTTTCCTAATGTTTTACAGTGTCTGCTTTAGTTCATTTTCAAGCAGTCATTGATGAATTGGACGCATTGGTTTATGTACTCTTCTCGGTGGCTCACAAGGTGGCAACAATGTGCAGAGTCTTCCCAGCAGACTTTTCGGACAGGGACACCCATTTTCTTACGCAGCTCTGCAAATCGTTCGATGTCTTTGAAATCCACTATACTGTCAGCTTTTGAGTAGAGGAACAGTTGAGGGTAGCGCCCTCTCTCATTTTGCAAAGAGGTGTAAAAGGTGGAGTATGGAGCGATACACCGCGCGAGCACAGGAATGCAGAATGCCAATAACACCAAAAACCACATCCCTATCGCGTAAAAGAACGCGAATGTGTATCTTATAAACGTGTTATATGGTGCCCCAGATGCAATCAACTTGCCAGCGGTCAAGGAGGTTGCTGTGGTAGGAGAACTATCAAAAACAACCCCGCCGACTTGCATGCCTGCCACCAGCCGGTTAAATGTCTGATCTGTGTGTGACGAATCATGAAGCTCAATAGGAGAATTAAGAACCTCAGTTATGCTGTGATAAAGAAACACACCAGCGTTGCTGAATACATGGAAGAATATAATGTTATTCTCTAGTCCGAGATCAACCAACAATTCCAGAAGTTTAACAGCAATCTCCTTGACTTTATGTTGTCGCAAAAACTCATTTTCTATCGGTAGTGTGTAGCGAATTGTTGTCAGTCGTCGCTGTTGATAAATTGCGCTGTATTTCGCAAGATGTTTGTTCTGACAGCCTGTCCATCCCAGTAGTATTACGACAGGTTCCTTGTTGTCGTCCAGGTAGATGCTATCTTCCGCTTTGGGCCTCTCTTCGGGAGAAAGCGCAGGTGGGAAAATAACATGAAATTCTAGGTCCTCGTCCGCCATTTTGAACGCTGTCTCTGTAAGAACTAACCATTCACTTATAGGTGTCTATAAAATTACCTATCATCTAGTTGTCATTAACATTTTTGTAGATTAAATATCAGGAGAGAAAAAAGAACTATAATTTCTTTAAGATAATTTGGTAAAAATGACAGAGTACCCAAATAGATACTCTGCAATGAAATTGTATAGTGTAAATATAACATCCTCACCTTTATACAATGGTTTGGCCCAAAAACAGACCCACAATGCAAGAGCTCGCGCATGCTAACTGATTACGGTAGCAACAATCCATAACAAACTAATTTTCGACATTATTTTGCTGCATATGTCATTGCCTGGATTGGTTACAATTTATGAATATAGCTGATCGATAGAATACATATATACCGATTTGACACCGCTGGGAATGATAGGATCAGAATGAATCTGCTGTTGTAGGTGTTTGCTGTCACCAGGATCCTGTGCAAAACCTGCTTATCCACATGATACTGTTTCTATCAGAAATTGTTCGATAAAACCAGAACCATGGCAAGTGCTAAACAACAAACAGCAGTTACCAAAGTAATGTCACTTTTACAGCAATGGGACAAAGGTTCAAAATCCGTAAGAGGGCAGATATTATCAAACTTTGTGTCCCAGAACACGAACAAAACAGCACCCGAGTTAGAAGCTGAGTTTGCACAGGCCGCCAGTTTGTTTTTAGCTCGGCTGACAGCATGGCTCCGGTTAACGTATCCTCTGAGTAGCATAATGTTGTGTACACTTTATTTTCTTACTTTCACATGTCTGGGTTATTTACTCACATGCGAAGATGGCAATGTTTCTTTTTGTTTTTTTCAAATTACACTGCTTGGGAGTGAGTGGTACCGGTAGATGGAATAAATTTAGGATTAAGAAAATGAGGGTCTATGCAACTAGAATTCACAAGAATTGCAATACGGCCTGAAAATCTCAAGACATTATGATACAAATGATAGGCCTGTCAATCAACTAGTTTGTGTTTGTCACAGCCACTTTTGCTTTTTTTTTTTTTTTGTTATTTGCAAATTTTTCGTTTTTGAATAGATGATAATCATCTTGCTAATTACTGTTTGCCACTCCAAGCGTTCATTAAGTTCTGTGATGCTCTTCTTTTATTTTTTCTAAAAATACTTGCACTAATTACAAATTTCATTTATTAAAGATAAACTCTGTCATCAACATTGAACACATCCCAGAGTATATACGTCACACTCTGACTCAAACATTAACTTTGTTCTTATCAGGAAACAATCCTGTTAGTAAATGCAAAATTTGTGCACCGCAATACAATTTTTATTGTCAAACATGATACGATCACCATAATGCTGTCATGCATACTTTGTAGCACACTCTTGATAACCTTGTAATATTTATACACCCATTCAAACTTTTTTTATTTAAAGTCATTCTCATTCAAATCCAAATGAGGCAATTGGCGATGGAGAGGCACTCCGCAAAGCACTCGCTCCATCATTCCAAATGAAATTGGAACAGCCAAAATCGCTCATGAGAAGTAATTATCATTTACATCACAAATTATGAAATAACCAAAACTAGAATGAAAGAAAAAAATATTATTCATGCTTGACAAATTATTATTTACAATTGCAATCAAAATAGGCAAATCTTTCTTTTAAAAGTATTAAGGTTGTCAGCTGATTTGATGCCTACATCAAGCTGATTCCACATTCTAGAAGCACGCTATGTAAATGAATGCACTTTTATTTTTTTCTACAGCAAGTCTCAGAAGTATTGGGGCAGCCAATTTGCAAACTCGCTAGCGAATTGGCTAACTGCTTTGGTTTTGACTAAACGGTTGGCTTTCCAATCTCGCTGGCGTCGCCCACTTAAGACGAATGTATGCAACAGTAGGGGACTATCCTCATACTTTAGGAGCAAATCAGCGACGGCCTTACAGTTGGGTGGCGATTTCGCTTTGAAATATACCAGGGAAAGTGTTCTATGCTCTTTGTGTACACAAAAACGACGAATGAGGTCGATTTTTCCAGCGGTTGGCTTATTGTTACCCCAATGGACCATTTGAGTGTGAAAGTTTGTTATTTTGCTCCCTGATTTGTAGGAAACTGTTTCTCAACATATCTATTTAGTTTCATGCAGTGTTCAGGGTGGTTACCCTCATATAATGAATATTGGTGGATTAATCGTATTATCATATCATCACTTGTATGCCAGCTGACTGTGACCAGTTTCAGGCTCAAATCATTCAGGGGAAACCAGACATGTACCAGGCTATCCCCTAATGCAATATAGACTCGCCAAGAGCGGACGCGATCACAAGCCGGCGCTAGTGAGATTGGAAAGCCAACCGTTTAGTCAAAACCAAAGCAGTTAGCCAATTTGCTAGCGAGTTTGCAAATTGGCTGCCCCAATACTTCTGAGACTTGCTGTAAAGGTATCATATCTTTAATATGAATAAAAGCTTTCTTATTCAGTGCCTTATACACCTTACATACATTGCCAACCTTCGTAATATTTGCTGCAATTACAATGACTACTGTAAAATCTGTATTAGCGGCTATGGCTTGAGCGGGCTTCTAATACCATGGTTACAATACAACAGAAGGGATGTGGTTTCTATTAGAGCATCTACACATATGAGAAATGATGAATTTTTATTTTCAATCGTTCAAAAAGAATGGATGTGACTTCTATTAGGGATGCAGTTTCTAATAGGGATTTAACGGTACTCATTAATAATTTAAACAACAAACCTATGGGCTTTTTGTTTTTGAATGTAATTTTAATCACGATGCATGCTGTCATTAAATATCAACTAAATGAAATGATTTATTACGTTTTGAATTGTTATGTATTATTACTTTCTTTAACTGTATCTCTCAGATACATGGTTGGTACATGTCTTAATTTGCAGCTCAAAGCTCTCACTATATTCTTGTCATCATCAAGTGGGTAAGTTAATATCACAACAAATACATCAGCAAAGTCTTAACCATTCATAGAAAGTGTGTATCGATATCCTCGGGGGCGGAGCTACGTCACAAGACGTTCCACGATGCTAAGACGTGCACCACTGTACATGCATTTCTATGGGCTCTTTTTGCGCTGCTGTAGAACGCCGGTCGAGCCGGTGAAAATTTGAGAAAACAACACAAACTAACTTTGAAGTAATCCTGAACAACCAAATTTATATATGTTACACACGTAGGGCTAATCTTGTTATACTGTTAGGGGAGTCTCAACCACCATCCCAAAGTACCGTTTTCTGCGTGTTTTTGGCCTTTGTTTTCACCGCCAGGGTTGCCAAGCGGTGAAAATGCCCGGATGTCCGCCCCCGAGGATAGGCTTTAGAAGCACTATAGAGCTCCCTCTGTGGTCAAATTATAAGTTTCATTCGTCTTTTTATTACCCAAAACAGTGCAATCTTCAACTTCACTCACGATGATTCTGGCAAGATATTACTAATAATAATAATGAAAACAAGATTCTCTTTGCAACTATAAATATATTTATGGTATATTTTTGCAACTGAGTCTAACTCACAGTAACCTTTTTTTTATTGTATATAATCTCATTCTTTCAGTCACAAGTTCTTAGCCGAATTTTTAGAGGTTGGTGGCGTGTTAACAGTACTTGAAATCTTAGGGTTAAAACAAGCCAAGGAGGAAGACAAGACTCAGGCTTTGAGACTACTACAGTGTATTGGCAATGCTGGAAGGAAATACAAGGAACTCATTTGTGAAAGTTATGGTATGTTTTCATCATGGATGTACTGAGTCAGTATAGGGTAGCTTCTACTGTCTACTTTCATTGCTATAAACACATTCAGTTTCAATTGGTTTTAATTTTGCTAATTTCGCTGATAACTGAAATCCACTCAAATTAAATCTGCACGAACATGTCAAATTACAATAGAAATGAGAAATCAGTAAAATCCAGTGAATTTGCTTCAATTATCAATTTAATGACAATAAATACTTGCAAATATTTATGCTTTTACAGAAATTCTGTTGTCTCAAAGTTAGCCTAGGACACATAACGGTATTGTCCAAATGGGCAACTAGCATCATGTGACATTTATAATTACTTGCTTTATTGTGGGTTCGAAAAGTAATTAAACACAAAACATATTGACCCTTTGTCTAAGTGATTGAACAAAATTTTGGAAATTTAAAAAAAAAAAAAACAGCAAAATGCTGTTGTTTCAGTGAGAATGTGAATCACTGTTCTACAGTTTGTTCATTGCTTTCACTGAGAACCATTCCATTTTATTGAGCTAGAACAAAATTCTTATATTTATTTGTATTTTTAGACTATTGTGTTGCATATTCAATGGTATTAATATACACAATTTGCAAGAAATTATTGGGGGTATTCACAACTAAGGTGAATTATTCTGAATCTACACACTTCAATAATACAAATACAAATTTGAACAAAAACTCAATTAGGAAACAAAAACAATCATCATCATTAATTCAGACTAAAATGCAAGAGTTGACCTGAAACTGTGTCATTTGACTTCATAGATCAAGTCATAGCCAATCAAAATGCTGGACGGTTTCAGTTGAATGAAATCAGAAATTTTTGAATAGCGTTTAATGTTATTTATCAGTTTCAGTACCATTGTTTGGCATTAATTTCATTGAAAACATTTTTTTTTAGAGTAACACAAAATTGGGTTAGAAAAATCCAATAACTGTAGAATAGCTGTCATTTCTATTCTATTCTAGGTATCAGAGCAGTGGCAGAATGCCTCGCTAGATCAAAGTCAGAAGAAACACAAGACTGTGCTAGGAATTTATTACAGATGTTGGCACAAGGCAATCCTAAGTACGAAGTACAAGTATACAAAGGTCTTATTGCGTTGTTACCATCCACATCACCAAAAGCACAACAAATGGCATCACAAACACTCAGGATAGTGCAGGTAAATGTGCAGTCAGTACACGCTTGTATGGAAATACTGTGGCCACCATAGGTTATGCTATTATGCCTAAACACATCCAACAGTGATCCCAGATGGACCAGGTTATGATCCATGTTAAGAAATTAACACTACATGGTGGGCTTCCAGTGTTATCATTCTTGACTTGTACTAGATTTTTGTCACACCGAGTTACCAACTTTTCTTAGCCAGTTTGAACAGAGAGGGAAGACAATGTTCAAAAGTGGAAGATCATGATACTTTTTCATATTCATGTAGTGAATCGAAATGCATATACTTGTAGTATTGGTAATTTGAGACTACAGTACATACAAACACGTATTTGTCTGTCAACCTTTTTTTAAATGATGATGAATTTATCAGAATAATAATTGGTTTGCATTGGTACCAAAAATGACATAATTTTTAGTAAAATATTTTGACTGTGAGTAAATATTTACTATATAAACCTGTTATTATCACAGCCAATTGTTGGACAGGCCAATCCGAGCATTGTGGAACCAGTGCTGAATTTATTGAGAACTCTACATCTAGAAGTACAATATGAAGGTAAGGTAGATTTCATCCTCCGGTCACCATGGTAACTATAGCCCTCCCCAATACTGTACAATACTTTATTTTCAGTGAAGGTATAACTCAGTGAAAATAAAATCCAGCAAACAGATTCGTTTTTCATATCTATTAGATTCAAGTATTTTCAGTGAAAATTTCAGCATTGTACAGGAGTTTATGAGTCAATGTGTTTATTGTTAAATTATAAACCATTCTCCTATTCATTGTTTTCTTAGCAATTGAATTAATTAAAGATCTAATGAAGTATGATGTGCAGGACCAGTTATTGAGAGGATTGGTACAAGTATTGGTACCAGCTAGAGAAGATATGTTGAGAAGACCAGAGATACTTGATGGTAACCAGTCTTTCTTGTTTTTGAGTAAAATATTTAACCAAGTGAAGTCAACATGCATTGTATATTGTTCTTTTTTACATGTTTTGAAAAACACCAGCCCCCACTGATTTAATATTTTATATTGTAAGTACCTTTAATGGACCATTGCTAGATTAATTTGATTTAATCAGATTAATTCCATTAGCGTTGATAATTCTTTTTCTCATTTTAATGAATATTTTTGTTGTCTTAAAAATAGTTAAGTTGATTTGATACATCTTTCTCATTATGCATGAAACAACTGAGCTATATAAATCGACATGCTGCTTATTTGTTTAACTGACTGTTGGACAAACAAAAACTTTATTTCATGTTGCAGTCTATTTGCAATTGTTGCATGGTCACACATATAAAAAAAGTGGTGATGCAGGGATTGGACTAAGCTTTTGAGTAGGATAATCATTTTACAAAAGCAGTAATTGAAAAGTTAATTGAAAAAGTAGCCAAAAATGGAAACAGTAACTCGGTTGGTTTGTATGGTGAATAAGTGCATTGGCCAAACTGGCCAAAACCTTGTGTAGCGCCCTCTTAGGTGTATTTCAGACTATCACAGATTATGTGCTACTATCCCTATCACTGTAAAAAAAAAATGAAAATGACATTTATTTTGGATTGAAAATAGCAATAACATAGTTTTGTTCAACAAATAGTTTATATGGTTGTAAAATTGGTATCTGTGTATTGTCTTGATAGATCCTGATGCACCTGAACTAAAGCGCCCTCTACCAGTGTTTGTCCAACAAGCTGCCTCTGCTAAAGTCATTGGGTAAGAAAGAAAGTCATTTACAGCCACATGTCATGTCAAATGTCAACATATATACATATTATGTTTTCTTTGGATGGTGTTGTCATTGCTATTGGTACTATTTTCAAAAACATCTTGGATTAAAAAAAATCCCATCTTTAATTAACTTTAGTGACTTGACTTATGTTTATTACAGTATCCTTGCTAGAGAATATGATGAAATAGCAGAGAAAATGATACAACTACGAGTCGTGCATAATTTAATGATAGCTATGGGTAATGAGGACCATGCCGATAGTCAAAGACAAGCAAGTATTACATTAGAGGTAAGAATATAACAAGGATATGTTAGTTTCATCATTTAGGTGAGCTTGAGCCTTGTTCAAATTTTGTACTACTGAGCATGTTATTGTATATATATGCAATGCATTATGGGAGAGAACTATTGTATATAATGTAAAACTATTACCACACTGCAATCTCATTCATTTAAATGTCAATTTCTTGAAATGTTAGAACAATATTACAAGTTTATACAAATAATTATATATGGCTTTTTAATCCCATGACACCATAGACCCTCTGTTAGAGGGTCTATGATGACACCAAGCCCAATTTTGAGGCATAAAGAAATAATTTCACCATAGTAACCAGTTCAAAAATGCAAATTTATGACATTTCCAATTACATATTATATATGGCCATTAGCCCCTAATCACAATTATAGTATAGCATAGTATAAAACTGGTCTTTCCTTAAGTACACCCTTGGTGACAAAGATCTAATGTAAGTGCTGTATTTGACTGAAGGTGGCGCTGTAGCAATTTATGGACACCAATGTAATCAATGTTTTGATTGGTTACAGTATTTATCGACCACCTTTCCACTTGTTGATGAACACGCACGAGATGCTATGGGTGAATCATTATATCAAATGTTTATTGTAAGTATCATCTTTTTTCTACATGTATATTGTTGATTACTGTAAACCATTCAATTTTCACTGCTATATATAATTTTATGCCATTCGTGAAGACAATTTTGTGAAAGTCACCAATACTCCTGATCATACGAGGAATTTTCACTGACTCACGAAAAATTGTCTCTTGTTAAATTAAAAATGGTTTACAGTATTTACTAGTGTCTGTCGGCTGTGCGAACATTTCCACAAATTCTATAGTCTGAGGCTAGTGAATTATTGGTAGGTCTAGTAGAAACACTCTGACTGCTAGTCTAATAGGCTAGTTAATTAATTACTTACCCATAAAACACAAAGTTTAGGTCAATCATATATTCAGTTTGTTTGTACAATTATACCGCAATGAAAAGATTGTAGCGCAATTATCTTTTACTGTGTTTATATACAAAATAATATGAAAATTATGAATTATTTTGTATATTTTATGTGATATAGTCATATAAGCACAATTTCAAGGGACTTCTCATACCATACTTTCCTGTGTATAAGCCCATCCTTTATTAGTCCCCGTTCGAATGAAGTCTGAAAACAGGGACTTATGGATTGGCCTGTACGTGTGTGTGTGTGTGTGTTCATCCATCCTTTCATATTTCGCCATATATCACACTTGCTTGGGCTGATCAAGTTAAAACTTCTCGCATGTATCAGACATTATATCAGACATATACATATACATTTGTTTCATGATCTGATTCAAGATTGCCAAAAAAGACTGAAGTTTTTGATTCATGTATTTGACATGTCTTGACCAATAAAGTTGATACTTCACACATATATTATACATCATATTGGACATATACATTACACATGCATTTGTTTCATGATATGATCGAAAATTGCCCATTGGCAGCCATTTTAAGGCCAAAAAGGACTCAAAATCACACATTTTCACCATTCTGGAAGCTGATCTGAATCGTGCATGAGATCAAATAAAAATAAATTTCAAACTAGGTACATAAAATTGTGATACTAGTGAATAATAATAGCATTGTTAACTGTCTATTGTCCATGATTATTGTTGTTTTTTGATATTTTCACACTTTTGAGAATGCCCGCCTCTTGCTGTTAATCATTATTCCTACTGTTTGATATTGCAGACCAATCCTGAAGCCCTGTACCTCAGTATGGATGCAGTGCAGGCTGATGTGTTGAGGTCAAATAAGGTCAACATCCCAGGAAGTAAGTCAAATCAATTCTTATTGCTGATACACTGTTGATATAAGTCGCACTATCCAGCGGTAATATGTTTATGCCGTGTAAATGGATGAAAAGAATTGCTACTGTAGTGTTGATCTGTTGTTATCCAACAATAGAAAGGAATGTTCAGTTTAGCTTCAGCCAATAACAGCCACTCTGTGGCCGATAACTCTTTATGTTGGTAAAATCTAGGCATAACTGTTTTATCATCTTGAGAACCACAAGAGAGTAATACTGTGAGCCACAATGCAAACTTTTCGTATTGAAATTAAATTAACCTCCAGTGAAAAAATGTAATCAAAAATGTTATTGTCTCTATAAGTCAAAATATACTGGATTTTATGATGACATCAAATGCTAATCTGTCTCTAGAGTGTGCCACTTATAGGAATGATGTATGTGGGGCTTGTTGGTCCTCTGTAATGATTGTTTGCATCTAAGTTAAAATTCCAGTCTTGAGATCATTCTTAAAGCTGCATTTGTCCCATGGGGCTATTATGTGAAATATTTTAGTATGCAGAAAATATATGGTGGTTCATGCTTTGTTGAGTGAAGTGAGTCTTCATGTGTGTTGAAACACTACTCAAATGTATTAGCAAATATATTGAACACATGAAAAAAAAATTGGGAACTGAAGCATTCAGACACTGAAAATTATTAAAAGAAAAAATTGCAGTTCATGCAAATTCAGGTTATCCAAAATTCACATAATAGTCCCAAGACCACAATACAAAGTCAGGAATAATCTCATGTGTTCAACAATACAATGTATATTACTTAAAGTGTATTATACTGAATGCACACACATGGTGTATTTTTTTACAAATACAGGGGTTATTGCTTTGTTTACCTGATGAGAATGCAATTAGCAATAAACATGTTTATCAGCTAGTAGAATTGTTATGCAGTGAAACATTGTATTGAACAATTTATATAAGTAAAACCATTTGATTCTTTTTTTTCTTTATAGTTGTAGAGACAGTAGAGTAAAGATGTGTGATCACATTAATTATCTACTCAAATTCAAGGATGCCAGTATAGATAATTCCCTTCGTGTTGAGCTAGAAATTGGTTTTAAGAAGACTGGATGTACCAATGAATTGTTTTGACACAAATATCATCTGTATTTGTTAAATTGCTCATGATACCTGGTTCTCCACTAAGCCTTTCCAGTTCCTGAGTTGGATTTTACTATTACAGATGATGTCACTTTTACCATCAATGGAAAGTTTTAAAGCAAATATTGTATATCGGACAAAACAGTCATTGCCCCAAGAAAGATAATTAAACATCAGAAAAACATATTGTGTATTAAATAAGTGTGTGTTTCATATTTCAATTGAAAAATATTGTGTAACCTTTCATAATGTTATCTTCTTCCTGTTTGCCAAAACAAGTGGATACAAGGAAAACAATATACCGGTAGTATTAACCAATGAAGCTATAAATATTTACAATATATACTGTTAGTGGAAACTCAACATGCCTTTTTTTATTGTAAAGAACGTTATAACTATTAAATCAACTGTATAAAATACATGTATGTTAATAATTGTTGATTAAAATAACACAGCATTGTTGTGTACAGTACTTGTAAAAAAAATTTTTATTTCAATAACATTTTCTGAAAACAGACTTATGAAATGCATGCGTTCATTCTCCCAGACCTATATTTTAGACATGCTTGCTGAAAAGTCATCAAAATCAAGCAATTGTGGCATTCGAAAATTGAATCTCTGGTGGTTACAGATGGATTTTGTTCAAATTTTTTTCAGATCGGATTTTAAATGGCCAACTGGCGGCCATTTTGTTTTGATGAAGGCGGATCGAGTGACATATCTCTGATAGACTTTGACTGGTTGTGTTCAAATTTTAAATATTCATTTATACATCATGTCATAGATATACTGATGTATCAGTTTAATGATGTTTAAAAATGGCTGAATGGTGGCCATTTTGTGCTCAAAAATAAGCATTCCGGAACTGAATCTTGGTCATTTTTGGATGGATTTTGTTCAAACTTGGTACGTACAGTAAACACTATGGCTCTTTGATGCACATCATCTTTCTCAAAATGGCTGACTGGTGGCCATTTTGTTTTAATGAAAGCGGTTCTAGGACCATATCTCTGACATTCCTTGACTGATTATGTTCAAATTTTATATGTATTCTTTAATAACAAGGCTGATCTGACGTTATTTTTGGACACAAATGGTCTTTACTCATAAATCTATGTAACATAACTTGTACATTGTAAGCACAGTGTATTTATAACTACATGTATATACTAATAACGTGTATGTTTCAAAGTATAATAAATAAATATGAAATATTGAATATAAGTAAACCGTGCTTGTAATGTACAAGGTACTGTATTAGCAAATGAATTTAAATTAATTGCGTCTGTCTGTAACTAGATTTAGCAATAAATAAATGTGAGTACCTTTGGTCAAAAAGTCTGCGGTTGTGTCAGATCAACCTTATTTAAGAAGAAGGAAACAAACAGCCTTTGTTTATGTATGAGCATGTCTTATAAAAATTGTTACAATCTCGTATCAATAAAATAAACATGGCCATTCAGTTTTAATAAAATATGATTATTCTGATTGTATTCCAACCACAAAGTTGCATTATTTTGTGTGTCTTTCACCTTCTAAAGCGGGCCTGCGCTGGAGGTAAATAGGCCCCCTTTAAATTGCTTATGTCTGCAATAGGCCCCCAGGACTAAACTCAAAGGGCTGCTGCGCCCGCTGTAGGCCCCTTCTCGCAACAACCACTCCCATACACCACCCTAGGCCCCGAATTGGCGAACCCATAAAACAAATAATGACACCAACAGCAGTTGCATACACAGCAACCATAAGTAGCTTGTTTGAGTTGATCACACTCCACTTGAATGCAAAAAAAGTGACAGAGAATGCTTGCAATAGAGGGCAGGATGTTTTTCTTCAATTCGTCTGTTCTAGGGGGTACTAAATTCACATTGCGTCCGCAATAGGGGGTATGATTTGCCAATATACTGCCAGCCCTAAGGGCATATTATTCTTTAGCAAGAATGCACATGGTGTAAGGTTTTAATATAGGGTGACCCCCCCCCCCCCGGGGTGAATTTGGTAGAGGATTTTTAACTAAGGCTACATAAAAGGAATAACCACAATTGGCTGTTTCTGTTTGTTATGGTATATGATAGAATTGACCGTAATACTGACAATTGGTGCGACTAAATTGTGAAAATTGTAAGAAATTTAAAAGCTTTACAGATTGTTAATGTTTTGCTGAGCAAAAAAATCCCATTAAATAAATCAATGTCTATGTGATCGTAAGTGGTGGCCATTTTTAGTTGAAAATTAATCGGAATTCATGAAACTGAGGCTCAAAATAAAAAAAAAATAGATCGTTTACGGCAAATTTTCAGACTTCCTGCAGTCACGGGGGATGTCTTACTGACAACATGTCGGGAAATCCCTGTGTGAAAAGTGTATTGACCGCGTCCACTCTTTGCATGTGACCGTGACAATGTGAGATAATAGAACTATCTGAACGACCAGATGACATTGATGTGAACCCACGGCAATTGTCACTCTGGGCTTGAACTTGACTGTCTCAGAAGGCAAAGGTTGTGACTGATTGTATTGTCGGTTCTCGTATCGGGCAAGGTCTGTGTTCAACATTTTCAGCAACTAAAAATATAAAATAATGTTTTAATACATCTTATTTTTTTACTGGTGTAATTGTCTAAAATGAACAAAACCTCTTGTCTAGCACAGTACGAAGGAACCACAACTTGAAAGCCTAAATTATTTCGGGAATTTATTCTGAATATCATCCTTCCCCAGGGATGAATCCTGAATTAAACGTCCAGAAAATAAATAGCAAAATTCATACACAGCTTCAAATTTTAGGGGGTTCCTACGATCTTGTTAGATTTCCCGTCGAATGCTATCTGGAATATCATCGGTCAAGGGTCGCTCTGTAGTCAATACAGTGTGTTCTTTGTATACTCGTTTGAAACCATGCAACCGAATAACATGACGACGAAATAGACATGTGATGTCAAGCTAGAGGTGAACGAAGTTTTTTTTTTCTGGATTGAAATATAATTTCCCGTTAATGCGAAATAATTTTCTGTAGAAATTGCAAATAGACCAATTGCGAGTTTCGGTGTCACTTGCTATATATCGTAGTTGGTTGTTACAAAACAACTAAAATAATTCTCCAAGTCTTTATTTGATATAAAACTAAGTGCTTTCTGGTAAACGTTCGGCTTTTAGTAACGCGATTTGAATAAATCAGACAATAATGGGTAAACGAAAGGCGTAAGCCTTGATCGATTTCTGCCGTTGGTGGCGTAGTTAAGGGACCAGAATTAGCCCTGAGAATTAGTCCCTTCCAGAGTCAGTCAGGGAGTTCAGTTGACGCTTCGAGAATGGTGCTAATGTAATCGAACAAAATATCACGCGCACTTGAAACTCACAAATTGTCATTTTTTAACGCACTTCACGAATTGTGCACGTGAACATTGACCTTATCCCAAAATGGTCTATTGTTCAAATTTAATTCCTGTCTGCAGCTTTTGCCCCACTAATGTTTGATGTCAGCAAATTCTTATCATCTCTGAGCACGAGACGATATTGGTGTCGTCTCCGCATTGAGGTGGAATGTACAGTTCTATAATGAGAAATTTTCAAATGACAATATTATTTCAAATTCAATATTAGCTGCAATTTTTGCAAGAGAGTATTTTGTTAACGTGAATTGTGCAAAAGATATATCCCTGTGGGTGGAATTCCACTTCCAAAGCAAACTTCTAATGTCAAATGTCAAGCTCTACGTGACAAATTGAATGTGAATCTGACCACAGTTCAAATTAAATTTATTGGTTTCAGTATTGAACAATTATCACAATATATTGTAAAAATATACAGAAAGACTGTAAATATGTGTAAACCAGTTTTGTTTATTCTGGCAAAAACGTTTTCGAGCTGTATTGTTTCTTGGTGTCCTGTTTCTCACATTATTTAAAGCTGCGGGAACTGATATTGGTGTATGTTTTAATGACCGCTGGGTTTAGAAGTACAACACAAAGTTCGTTTAACACAAACTCGCAGTGTTTCGTTGCAACTTTTCGTATTCTCATTATATATTTTATCATTTTAAACAGTTGTCCCCGTTGTCACACAAGTGGTGAAAATGAACGCCCTTCATCACGTGTCCAATACTGCTAGACTTACTGCACAAGTACCCCTCCCATTCGACATACAGATAATATAGCAACGCTAAATATAGAAACGGATGGCAAAATCAGTAATATTTTTCTTTTCACTTTACGCATAGCGAAAGAACTCACAAAGTGCAAATAACAATGCTTTTGGCAAATAAATTAACAAAAAATTCCCACGCCACTCCCTCTCTCGTTCTCTATCACGCTTATATGCTTTTTACATTTCTCTGTACTATATTTCACCTGTCACGTATGGGGCTTCCCACGAATTTGCATATTGCTGTGGCGGTGTTGGCGCTGTCCAGTGCGATGCAGTTATCACACTGTTCAGACTTTGACAGCTCTCGTTGATCAATATCACTTTGCGGTCACGTCAGTGTGCGTCTAAGTAAACTATTTGAGTGAGTAGACTCAGCATCTACATGCGGCCTTGATAAGATAGCGTTATCGTGAGGAGATATGTGGTTAAAGCACTGACATGCAAAAGTCATGGCATTACGAATGTAACGAACTACAACGCTGTATGTTCAATAAAACTGTCATTGATACCGGTTCATTTCGTATTTCTGTTAGCCTCGGGGACTATCATAAACATTTTTTTCTGATTTATTGAAATAACCATGATTCTGAAATCAAAATTTGTAACATTCATGGGATGAATCAGGTGCTGGCTTATTGAAAACCGTAATTTCAAAGAATACCATTCCCACAGTCCTTCATGATAGAGGAACTCTGCTTGTAGTACCCTATTTCCGTTGGTTTATAAAACACAAAGGAACATCCTAGATTGATCATGGTTCGAGGTCATTCCTCGACTTGACACTGTGAATAAATGCAACACGATAAGATGATTGACTGAGTGTCTACTGATATGTGACTGTCTGTAGTCTGCGGTGCACTGCGCCTGTCGATATAGAAGGGGTATGTGTAATTATTACAGCTGTGGCGTTGGAGTTTCTTGTAACTTTGGTTCATACGACGACGAAAATCACCATCCACGCTAACATATATAACATACCGAAATTGCGGCAAAGTCGATCCTCGAGTGTATATTGTATTCTTACTTGTGTCTATACAGCGTGAGTGTACCGATTAGTACCACTGAAAGCCTCCATTTTGAAATCATAGTAAACTATAACATGCGTCGATTACCCCCCCCCTCCTCCCGAAATAAATTAAATCACTACACGACCACCGCAGCACAGTGGCTGAAGGCTCAAGTTAAACTAATTCGTGAGATCGCACACCAAACATGGATCGACAATATCATGTATGTTCACGCTAAACGAAGTTAAACCACTAGTCGGTTGAAACTGCATGGGATACAGGGGTAGCGTATTGACTTGACACAACGGTACATAGTTGTGAAGCTCTCTGGATGC